TCATTGGAACAGAAGCGACGCCGCGGAAGGCGGTGGAGGCTCATTGAGATCGAAGGGAAGACCCCGCCGGGGTTCCGGAAGAGGTGCAGGCTCGCGTCGAAGGAAGCTTCCGAGAAGCAGCGGGGTGGCTGGAGGAGGCGGCGGAGGTGGCGAAGGAAGGGGGTAGTGGGGCCAGAGGTGGCACGGCAGTTGGTTCAAGTCAAGCGGAAGATGAATAGGCGGTGGAGGCGGCGGAGGAGGAGAGGGGAAGTTTGTCTTCGCCTTGGGTCCGCGAAGTGCGCGCGCCGCCTGGTCGTAAGCGGAGGCGGCCTCTTCCGGCGAGTCAAAGGTACCCAGCCAGACTCGCGCTCTCTTCCACGGGTCGCGTATCTCCGCCGCATAGCGCCCCCACGGCCGCTTCCTCACCCCTCGAAAGTGCACCTCTCCGCCCCGCGAAGCCATTGCAAAGAGAGAGAGAGAGAGAGAGAGACAGAGAGCGAAAGAGATGAGAAAAGAAAGGAAGCCGATTTCGGGGAACGATCTCCACCTCGGGTTTCTTATTGACTCTGCTTGTTTTCTAATCAGCAAAGAAGGGTGAAGAATTGGGGGAGCCGCCGCCTGATTTGACGTGTGGCAGGCGGCCTGGCTTCATCATGTGAGCAGGTTCTGACGTCAGCCCTACTCGCTCTCACCTCCACTGCTGTACGGACTGATGAGCGGCGCCTGCATCATTAACCCGACCCGTTCCCCGGGGCCGGCCCCGCACTTCTTTTTACACTTTTGCCATCACTTTTTTCCCTCTAAAATCGTCAAAAAAAATATTATGGACATAAAAATAAAACAATATTTATTTGTCTAAATTATTTAAATTGAAGAAAACTTCAGTCGGTTAAAATTAATAAAAAATATTAAATAACAGAGGATCAATTGAAAGGAAGAAGGGCAAAATTGTGAATACGTAAATTTGGTAGGGGCGTGAGGAGGAAGATGTCGGAGTTAAAGCGGGTACGTTTGAAATAAGCAAAGGATTTAGGAAAGCTACGTGTCGATAGATGGGTGGGTGATGGGAGGTGCGGCAGTCTGGTGTTGTCCAGTTGCCACGTGGCCAGCATCCGTCCCGTGTCGTGAAGCGGGGGACAGCACGGGAGCGCTGGCGCCGAAGTTATGAGTCTGCGTGGGACCCTGGGCCTGCTCGTTTGACGGCCCGGCTGGTCTTGTGGGACCCGGAGTTCCTATCAGGTTGTGTTCCATGACGGATTTGGCTGCATGGTGTTAGGCACTTGTAGCTGATCCTGTAGAAAAAGAAGGAGGGATGAGATGAAAAGACCCGCGTCGGAGGTCGCACACGCGTGGTCGGAGCTCGCGCGTGTGCCGTGCGCCACATGTTTTGTGCGGGGGTTGTTAGTGGGTCCGGCCCACGATCTGGTGGTCAATGTGTTCATCTCGTATGCGCCCCACACGTCCTACGCGTCGGTGACTCGTCTCACTCCGTGTGAAGGAGAAAAATATTGGTCCAATTCATCTGTCCATATTTTTTTTATGAGCGTTCAAATTATATAAATTTATGATTTAAATAAGTAAATTTATTTTGAAAATTAAATTTAGTATAAAAGAAAATATACATGTTTGTTATAAGTAAAATGATTGCAGCGGAAAGTGAATAGTAGTGATTAAGGTAGTCGGAGGCGGCGCTAGACAGTGGTGGCTGATGGTGGCCAGCAACGGTGGCTGGCAGCGGGCGGATGTGGCTAGCAAGGGGTAGCAATGCCTTGAGTTTGCCATGTATTTAGAAATCGCCAAAAACTTAGTAATTCCAAATACAGGAAAAATGAACTAAAATAGAATATAATGCATTTGCTTTACTTTCCCTTGGAATTTATTTTTCATCCAACCAAATTCCCAAATTATCAAAACTCTTGCATTTGGATTACTCTACTTCCTAAATGCATCAAACCAAAGAGTATTAAGCTATCGCTTACCAAAAATTTCATTGCCTCCATTTTCTTATTATAAATGGTTAGAATTTAAATTTATTCAAAAAGAATTCAAAAATATATTATCAAATTATTAATAAGTAATAAAAAAAATAAATGAAACAATAAAAGTCGTCTAAGTTCTAAGGGTGGAAATGCTAAATCTTTTTTGTCTTATTAATTGTATGATAGTGGATGTACAAATTAGCATATATGAAACTTTTTTTTTTAAAAAAAAGAGAAATTAATAAAATTGAAGCTAAAAATTAAAAGAAGTTTGATTTTTAATTTTTTTTTTGGGATTTTTATTGATTTAATAGTTTTTTAATAATAAAAATTTTGATGCGATCTAGCACAAATATTAATGCAATACACATATGTATAAAGTTCAAATTGATTCTTGAATTTTACTAAGGCATGAAAATTTTTGAACATGTAAGAATCAATGCATTACATGTAAATAAAATGACTATTAAAAAAAGTAGATTAGGTTAAATCAACCATTTGATCAGAGTGTTGCTTCTTATAGGTTTTCTTTGATTGTGATAATGACTCTCTCTGCCACACACGATATATAATTGTAGTCATTAATATATTAATCTTCTATTATCTTTAGATGAATCTCCCCCCAAACTATTTAATCTATAAATCATAGGAATTATCCTTTCTCTTGACTTCCATAACATGATAACAATATATTTTCTCCTTTACATTTTTTTATTATAGGAATTTTTGTCCCAATCCTTAAGGTGGGATAATACAATATCAAAGACATCATGACATGTCATATAATATTGTATTAATGATAGTTTATAGTCATATCCATTCAACACTGATATATTAATCAAAATTTGCTATAGTTCTTACATTTTTGTCAGAGCATAATAACTATAAGCCATTTGTTCAAATTCTATTATACAATCACTTCTTATCAACCTTCCTTTCAACATATAACTATATGGCTCACCTTAAATCTTATGCTTGTTGTATCAAACATCAATCATATAAGGAAGACTTTCTATTAATTAAGGGTCTACTTCTAATTCTAGACCATGTTTACATTTTACTTTACAATGGAAGGTTGCAACCTCCAGTTATTTTCATCATCTTCCTTGCCTTATTCTTGAAATCCTTTCAATTTCCTTTAAAGTTTGTTAAATCCTCTTGAAATGGTTAGTTCGATCTTCCTTAATGAAGGTTCTTCTTTTTTTCTCCTATATGCAAAATTATTATACATGAATTCATAAATACAATAAAATGCTCATTTTCTATAAAGTAAATATATGTCAATAGGTTAAACCATAATAAATCATAATGTAATTTTTGTGGTTGTAGTTACATGAGTGCTTAATAATAACATCCCTTCTTAATTAGAAGTCTACTTTTGATAATTTTTATTTTCAAAGTTCAAATATATTGTTATCAATTTATCGACTCTTAGATAGTCAGATAATTTTCAAAATTAAGTTGCCTCCATTGTTAGCTTTAACTTTATTACCTTATCAAAGCTAAGTCAGCTCTTTCATTAAAATTAACTAAATCAACACTGTAGTTAATTATAAATTTGTAATATCACCAATATATCTTTTTTATTAGTATCAATTAACTTAAAGCATGATCAACTAACATCTCTTAACTATCAAGTGCCATTCATTACTTAACTAATAACATGTAACTTGTGAGATCCTTAACTTTTTAAGTTAGTTTTTGGAATTTGATGAGCTTAGTTAGTCCTATATGAAACTGAGTTCGTCCGGGATGAACTGTTAGAATGTGAACTTCGTCTGTACGAATCGTCTGGACGAATAGAACGAGTGCAGAACAGAGCCGATCGTCCAGGGACAAAATTAATTATCATTCGTATGATTTGCGACCAGAGGAGATCGTCCATATACGAAGTTAATTGTCGTTCGTACGAATGTAGTTTGAATGCAGTATAGAGCCGATCGTTTCGGTAAAGAGAAAGAGGTTGTGGACTAGCTGTTCAGGATCTGATCTGAAGTTATAGGTATTTTGTTATTTTAATTTTTATACAATCTTAGCTAGTTTACTTTTCAGTTCTGTAATATTTGTATGTAGCCAAGTATTATAATGTATATGATGATTTTGATGAATGAAAGAAATTTTGTGGATGAGTTATTCAAATATTTGGATGCTTTAGCAGCTCTGTGGTTCTGTATTATTTAACTGAATATCGGTAGAAAATCTGAAAACAATTCCGAAACTAGATCGTGGGGTTTTTCTGTCACGGCTCAACACGATAGGACCTGTCCTGATCGGGTTGGGTTGTGACATAACTCATTATCATTAACTCTAATTATCTACTTTTATAACATTTATGTTTAACTCTATCGCCACCTCATGCGAACAAATAATATCTTCTTTAAATTAACCAAAACTTCTAACTTTGGGTCGAGCTTCTATTACCACCACCTTTTGGCTTACCTTTACCACCACCTATGAAATTATGATACGATATATGTCTAAGTTTATCTTAGGTTGGCTCATTATTATTATTATCCTTATACTCGTTATCATCATACCCCTTAATTAGGTTCACCATAATTACTACCCTTTGTTGGTTAAAATACCCATGCTAAGATTTGGCGTTATCTTCATGTTTTGCTTGTTTTTTAGATTTGACTTCAGTTGTTTAACAAGAATTACCTTTAAGTCTATCAAGTCTAATAGCTTCAAGTTTGTAGCTACTATGGCTTTTTGCTTATATACTTTGTAGAGCATGTTAGTTTTAGACTAATTATTGAGCTTTTTAGGTGAGATTCTATCATAGAGGATAGTTTCCTAGCACCTTATGACACTAAAAGGAGTTAGGAGACTTTCTTAGCACCAGTGGCCGTCGTTAATGGAATTAGGGCTCATCTACAACACCTTTGACATGGTGACCACCTATTGCTTTAGTTATTTCAGATTAGTATTTAATTGACCAAGACTTACCCTAAGATAAACTCAGGTTGTTTAGGGCCCATGAGGCTTAGTTATACATCAAATTAAATGATTATTCTAGGGAAGCCATGCCAACTAATCTACTGCCACCTAGACCTTAATGATCAAATAAGACCTAATGGTTATGCTAGCATTATTAAGGTTATTTTTCATTTAAATCTAGATTAAACTAAGGTAAGGAATCAGTTAAACTTTATATGTGACTCCTTGTATCATTATAAGTGTAATACTTTAGTTGACCTCCCATAAATGACCTTGGCTACAAGTGCACTTAGCATAAGGTATTGTTGATCTTTTTTAACCTCTTAGCCTTAGTAAAACACTAACATATTAATCTTAGGAAACAATAAGCTACATTGAGTCCTAGTGTTAGCATCATGAAACTTATAATGATTCCAAACTAATTTTGAATTTTGTGACCCCAACACCCATACATCTAATTTAAGCCTAGGTAGTTAAACTCAATAAGCTTTAGGAATAACTTAGGGCTACGATAGTTTTATTATCAATATAATTAGGTGATAATTCACTTGATAATGAAAATCATCCTATAATAATCATACCTCATATGACTTTTTCAAACATTCAAATGATTAGGGCATATCACTTTAATTAATTTTAAATGTAAATCCAATACTTCAAGTTATATATATAAGGTCAACACTTGTTTAAATCTTTCTATATGGTAGTCCTAGATGATGTTCAAACATTAATTTTTTTTAAAATGTAATTAATTTTATTTAATATAGTTTTGCCTATTCAGTGAAGAACAAATAAAAGTTTTTAATCTTGGATGGAGTCTAAGTACTCAAGACAGACAATATATGTAGTAAGTGCCAAAAACAGAAAGAATCCTAAAATTTATAACTTAATGCACTTCAATTTGTATATAGATTTAATTAGTATTGTGTTATATTATGCAAAGGCAAATAGCCTTTTGTTTTCATTGGAAGTATATTTGCAGGTCCAACTATACCCAATTTGTTTTATTCTTTCAAATTGGCTTCATGTACTTTACTCTTTCTTGTTGCCAACATGTTACCTATCACAGCTCACCTTGGTTCGTTGGTTGAGAGCTTATGCTTCCAACTAAGAGGTCTTGGGTTCGAGTCTTTATGTATGCGTTGTGTGTGTGAGTTTGCCTTAAATGGCCTAAATGTCCCCCCAAAAAAAAAACATGTTACCTACTTCTAATGTATTCTATATTGAAAACAACACCTTCTCATATTATCACATTTTTTCATAAATCGACATACGTAAGTTTAATATCTTTCATATCAATTTCAATCCTCATTTTCATATATATATATATATATTATGGACCAACTAGCTGACCGATTTCCAATTAAATTAGAACAGATTGATTCGATCTGATTTTCAAAATTGCCCACATCATCCACTCTCATCACAATTTATCAAAATGTATTTATATGATTTACATTTTTATTAATTGTTTTGGAATATATTGAGCCTTTTAATTTATTGATTGATTAAAGTTTGTTAACATAAAATAAGAAAAAATATACTTCTGCTCTTAATATTAAAAAAATAATTAAAAAAAAAATAAAAAAAGCATTGACACGGACGTTAGCATACGACCGTTCCACCGCCTCCCCCAATATCCGCCCCGCCAAACACGCGGATTCCTGCCGAACCCCTTCCTCCTTTGCGTGCGTGCGCGCGCTTCGTTCCAACCCTCTCTCTCTCTCTCCAAACAGCTTTTAATAAAGCGCGAGAGACGTGGCGGAGCAGAGTCGGCACGGCCTCCGATGGCCCCACATACGTCGCCGACGCTCACCGCACTCTGCAACCACGCGGGACCCACACTTCGGCGCCAGTCACGCATCCGTACTACGCGGGTCCCACGCTGTTCGCCACCGCACGCCCGCCATTTCTCAGCTCCATGGGGGGGGTCATTAAATCCCATTTTACGTATTCCTCTACAAAATCATAAAAGCCATATCTTCTCCGCAGATTCCGTCGTGGGCCCCGCCGCCCCCCGGCCGGCAAATACAACTACTTTAAATCACAAAACAGTAATCTTTAATTATTTATTTTCGGAAAGAAGCAGCCGTCGTCGCTTTTGGACCGGACGGCAGCGGCAGCCTCGTCCACGTGTCCACCTCTCCGCAGCGGATCTCCGCGAGACGTCGTCAACACGCTTGTCCCTCCACGCCCGTCAGCCTCGTGATGCGCGCTCGTACCCACCACCGCTCGTCATTTATTACTTCTCGTGATATTTTATTACCGACTCGCGAGAACTATACAATATATCGCCGGAGACGGCGTCGCCGCCGATTACCGCACGTCCACAGCATTTATTTAACTTTCAAAGATCAAATAATATCCAAATAATTTTTTTCTTCATCAACATTAAAGAAGGATTACATCACTGAGATGGAGATCCATAGCATCAGATCTCTCAGCGGAAAAAAATATGTAGTTAAAGTATTTACAAAAAAAAACTAAACTTCTCCCGTCGATGCGTTCTGCTTTCACTAATTTTCAAGGAAAGGAAGAGGACATAAAAAACCGTACAGGAAGAGGGATTTGTACTAATCTTAGAATAAGAAGGGGGAAAAATTGGAGCTTAGTTGTTGAGCTTCCGGCTGTTGGATCTGGAATCGGAGGATCAGATGATCTCCGGCGGAGGAGGGAGGTTAAGGTCAATGTTCAGAGAGCGGAGCCGTGTTGGAGGTGGTGAAGGGTGGACATCAACGACGGAGGAGGAATCAGAGTCGCTCTGCACGCCAGAGTTCACCGGGGCGTTAGGCTCGGAAGGTACGATTGCCGGTTTCAGAGCAAGTAAATGGTTTCGGTGATGGCCTGCGATAGTCACTGCGGCAGCCATAGCTCCGGCCTTCTCCGATCTGATGAAGGGATCGAAGAAAAAGAAAGGCTGCGCCACCGCCACCGTCGCCGTCTGCGCGACGGTTGCCGGCGTGAAGTGCTGGAACGGGAAGCGCGACGCGCCAGGATGAAGGAGATCGAGATCGAGAGCAGGAAGAGGGGTCGCAAGGGGCGGCACAATGGACACAGCTTCACGAATGGAAGACTCCACCGTGCTGCTCTGGCTGCAAGGACTGCCGGCTGCTCCTCCATTGTTGACGATCGGACTAGGACTCTTGTAGTTCTCCGCGGAGGGAAAGTTGGTCTTCGCCTTCGATCCTCTGAACTCCCTTGCGGCAGCATCATAAGCCCTCGCCGCCTCCTCAGCCGTATCAAATGTACCAAGCCAGACCCGGCTCTTCTTCCCCGGATCCCTAATCTCCGCCGCGTATCTTCCCCATGGCCTCTTCCTCACGCCGCGAAAGTGCGTCTCCTTCCCGCCGCCGTCGCAGGAGGCCGGTACGCCCATGCCGCCGGATCTCCCTGCGCCGGTTCCCTTCTCTCTGGGGGCCATCGGGAACAGAGGAAAATAAGAAGAAAATGAAGTGCGAGAAAAAGCGTGTAGGGGAAAAAAGAGAGATGTCACTAATTTATAGAAGCAGAGCTTCGGATGAACGGCTGGATTTGGCGCTCACACGGCGCAAGAGGGAGCGGTGGAGCGGTAAAATTGAAATTATTCGGCGCAGTCAATTACCATTTTGACTGCACGTAGCCGCAGCCTTCCCCCTGGAATCCAGCTCGTTCATAAAACCTCGCACCCTTTCCCACCCGCCAGAGTGTGACGCGGTGCGTGGCGGGTGAATTTGAGGAAAACTAACGTCGTAGCTGGATCCACGCGGACTGGAGGCTCTAACGGCCGTAATTGGGGACGGCTGAGGGCCCCCACCGCACAATCCGTCGGTGTCAACCGCTCTTGCCGTGCACCTCGGATCTCGCCGGCCCGCGCCGCTTGAACCGCTCTGTTGGACCGAGAGTAAATAACCTCCTCGTTAGAACCGGCACGTGTCGGGTCGTCCTTTCGCCCGCCTGCTGGACAGGCGCCAATGAGCGGTGTCGGGGGATGTAATTATTGAAAAGTGTTTATTAAATAGGGAGATCACGATCGCCGAATGAGAATGGACGGCCGAGATGGAGCGGTGGTGTTGTTCTAATGACACCGTTGGACTCGGCCCTTTCGCTGTGAATCACGAAAATCGTTGGAGCTCTCTGTGGGCCATACACGAAATTCCGCTCGGCTAATTTTAATAGGATCTTGAATATGTCAATTTATCTCATTATTTATTTAAAGCGTTAATAATTTTTATTTATTTATTAAATCATTTTTATATGATTGCTCATGTTTTGAAGTGTGCTGTACGTTGATAATAAATATTTTATAATATTTGATTCTATTTCTAAAAATTATTCTGAGGCATAATAAGCCTTGATTCATGAAGAAATACTTCTAAAAAAATCTCATTATTTATTTAAAGCGTTAATAATTTTTATTTATTTATTAAATCATTTTTATATGATTGCTCATGTTTTGAAGTGTGCTGTACGTTGATAATAAATATTTTATAATATTTGATTCTATTTCTAAAAATTATTCTGAGGCATAATAAGCCTTGATTCATGAAGAAATACTTCTAAAAAATGTTTTTTTTTCACAATTATTCTAATTATTAATAAAATCAAATAAGAGTGTTGAAGAATTCAAATAAGGCAAATAAAGTTAAGAAACTTTAACTTAGTTTGGAACGGCTTTTTCAGTGCTTCTTAAATTAGCTTTTTAATAAAAATTTTAAATTTATGAACTTAAAAGTTGTTTTTTTACTAAAAATCTTCTTTAAGAGGTCGTAATAAAGTAGCCCTAAATGATGCCTTAGTATCATTCAAACCTTACTGACCTTTGCTAAACCTCTCACCCACTTTGCATTTGAAAGTTATTATGACTTCACTATTATCATCATTATCACAGTTGGGATTTATTATTATGTGTGGATTCCGAATGGCGTCCGAAGATCAATAAAAATACTTCATGTCACTTCAAAAATATACCGCGCTCAGTATTGAGCTCGATATCGAGCGCTTAACCGAACGGATAAACCGTCTGGTGTCCGCACAGAATAATAGCTCCACAGTTGGAGGGTTGCAAGATTGATACTATGAAAAACTTTTGCTTAAATCATAAGCATAGTCAAAGTCCATAGCTCGATATACCAAAAAATTCTCAATTTCTCGAAGAGAAAGCTAAATTATCCCTATGTTATCAGGTTATGATGTGATTAAGCTAATCATTCACCAACAATAAAGCTCTATTAAACCAAATGTCTTTAAAATATTCAAAATATAGGATCCTTGGTGACTTGAGCCACATGATCCTTTCAAACTAATACTTATCATAGCTATCCTTGGGTCGACCACTTGCAAATTCTCTCCCACCATCTCCTCTACTTATACCAAATCATGACCACCCTCCTTCAACATTCGCAAGCACTAATTTCTCATTAATCTTAGTGTTAAATCCCCAACCCAACCAACATCAAACTATGACTTTGTTTGGGACGGCTTTCTTTCTGCTTCTTAAATAATTTTGTACTAAAAAACTGCTTTAAGAAGCAGAAAGAAAGCTGTCACAAACGAAGCCTAAACCTTCTCCCTCACAACAAAATAATCATCTCTTAGCCGCTTCTAATGCATAACAAACCCACCACAAATCACAAGCAGTTAGTGTTGTTGTAAAAAAAAAAATTTTTTTTGAGTCAAATTCAAGTCAACTTGGACAACTAGGAGAAATATGGGCCAGTTTATCATATTGAACATGCAAATAAATAATTTAGGCTATATGAAGAACAGATCTGGGATCAGAATCTGATAAGAAATTGTTTGATCTGAGTCTACATTGGTAACGATCTGATAAGATAAATAAATTAATAGATAATTAATAATTACGTGTGTTTATGAAAATTATAAACATGTAATTGATGTATTTACATTTTCACAGCATATAAGGATTCAAATGCTCTCTATTTTACATCATCATATTACAGGTATTTTCAATTCTAATTGACACTTTTTAATTTGAAAATTTTATAATTTAAGTGCTATTTCATATATAAGTTTTTGATATGTTTTTTTTTATATAAAGTGAGAACTCAATTCCAACCAATCCAAACTCTTAGAGCTTTTTTTCAATCAATGCTCTACGCATTCGTGCGCTTTAGCTAATTTAAGCTTCGTTTGGGACGGCTTTCTTCCTGCTTCTTAAAGCATCTTTTTAGTACAAAATTTAAAATTTTTGCACTAGAAAACCGCTTTAAGAAACAGGAAGACAGTCGTCCCAAACGAAGCCTTAGTCGGTACAAATCTTCAAAGTTATTATCAGGATGAATAATTGAATTTTTCTTTCCTCAAAATTTCTTTTTCAATGCTCAATAATTGAATATTTGGTTTTTGCAATCTCTCGGAAATGGTATTTACATTATTTTTGAAATGATGATAGCAAAATTACAATCAGGTGATTATAAGAATCATATCTTCGAAAAAAAAATCATAATCATAATTTTTTGGCCAAGCTCCTAACAAAATTATGGAAAAGAATCATCTTATTGTTATCATCGCGATCATCACCGTCATCGAAGGGCGAGAGGCCACATTGCATAGAGTCTAATTAAAAGTCGTAAGTTGAATCTTTTTATAAATTCCTAATAAACACGGGGTGATAATCATATAGATTTACCGGCTTTGTTCCAACGTATAGAAGAATTCTATTATATAAAGAAAAGATGAATTGAGAGTTCTCGGCCAGTTTGAAGACTTATGTCTCAATTTATTTAAGATTTTTTAAGAATTTTAGATTGTGAATTTTGGTGTATTTTAGCCAATTGAAGGAATCAAGTTTAAATTAGTAGCAACAATAAAGCAATTATAACATATGCTTGAAAATTATTTATTGTCCATATTGATTGCCAAAGTTTTAAGAGTTTGGAATTAAAAGAGAGAATTCACAAAATTCTTATGTAAATATAGTAATATAGAGTGGTATGTATTTAAATCTCCCATTAAAATATTAATAAGACTACCTTAGTTAAAATTAAATATATTTTTTATGTACATATTTTCAAGTGATTTAAATAGTAAAATATAAATAAATATAAAAATATGAATTCTAAATGAGGTGTATTGATTGTTCATTAGATAAAAAAGATATATGGTAACAAAAAGAGAGGCATTTTAATGTCTAAAACTAATAAATTGAGATGAAACCAAGGATAACCTATTACATGTAACCCATAGAGCAAACTCCTCGCGCATGTCATGGAGTCAGTCGTGCTTGAAAGCTCCCGTTGGGATCGATCGTTGAAGAGAGATTCAATGAAAGCTGAGTAGCGGCTGGAAGGTTTCCAAAAACCAACAGACTGAAACTCGAGCCTTTTGAAAAGATGTCTGCTTCGTCAGTCAGGGAGAATTCTTGTACATGTCGTCCCATGAAGTAAAAAATCATGCATTTTGGTTAATTAAGGCTTCATTTGGGATAAGAAGAAGCTTTCTTATTGCTTCTTAAAGCAGCTTTCTAATATAAAATTTGTTGTGCTAGAAAGCTGCTTTAAGAAGCAGTAAGAAATTCATCCCAAATGAAACCTAATTCAAATGTAGGTACTGCTTTGCTGAACATAAAGACAGTAAATATTTCCTTAAAGTTAAGTCATCTTGTTGTTTCCATGTACTAAATTTCAGTATTTGCATTTGCTTTAAAGCTAAATTTATTGCACCTTAGTTATTTGTTAATCCATTTTTGTTGGGTTATTCTTGGCCTAAAGAGCATAGGATAATACTACAAAAATTTAGTAATTAAGACAGCACAAATTAGCAACAGCTTTTGTGATGATTTTAAAACTAAGGTAAAGATTACAGCCACTAAAGTCAATCAAATCACTGCAATAAACTCACATAAAATCATCTAACAAATGATTTTATAATCCAAGGCTTCATTTTGAACAGCTTTTTTACTGCTTCTTAAAATAGCTTTGGAGTACAAAAAATACTTTTTTTGTACGAAAAGGTTGATTTAAGTAGTAGTAAGAAAGTCGTCCATTAAAAATTCTTACTACTTCTTAAAGCAGCTTTCTAGTACAAAAATTCTAGAAAACTGTTTTAAGAAGCAATAAAAAAGTCGTCCCAAACGAAATCTAAATGGTCATACACCTACTCACAATCAATAGTCATATTATCTAATTAATCAAACGAAAAAAAATTACAATATGTTGATTATGAAAAAATAAACATACAAATAAGACATCACATATAAATAATTGTATGCTAAGCACAAATC